AACTCTACTCCTGAAGTGTGTCTCAGAGCTGTTCAGTTTTGAGGAAAAGTATCTTGTCTGGAGACAATAGAATTATTTTCATTGTTGGAATTTTTGTAGCTTCCAGAAGCACATCTGCAGGTGATTCTGTTAAAGTCTAGAGTTGACTTAAATAGCACGAAATTTTAGCCTATTGAAATCAGGAGAAGTGAAATATTTTTGCCTACCACCACCAGCAGCAGCAGCAGCAGCAGGCAAGCACATGTACACCCAGAGAGATTTCACATCAGATGGAAAGACAAAGCTGGTTCTGTTGCCGAGGCCAAACTTGTTCTGCTCGCTGCACAACAGTGATAAACAAATCAATCAGGAGACAAGGTTTTGGGGCAAGGAATCGTAACTTTATTCAGAAAGCTGGCAGACCAAGAAGGAGGGGGCTAATGTCCTGGAGAATCATCTTGCCCAAGTCAGAATTCAGGCTCCTTTTAAGCTAAAATGGGGAGGGGGTGTCGTTGGCTGTGCAAAGTTTTTGCTGCAGGCATTCTTTGTTCTTGCAGCCATCCATGTGGGTCAGTCTGTGTTGTCCCTGTAAATCTCCAACAAAACAAAGGCTATTCTCTATTTTGCAACTTGCCATCCCTGCGTAAGTGCAGAAGGGCTAACATCCTTAAAGGTCAGAGCCCCGAGAATAGGCTTTCCTGTAGGTTTTAGGCTAAAGGCAAAGTTGTTTTACAAAAGGCACGGAGCCAGCAAGATTAAGCCTGGAAAACAGGGCACAGTGATTCAAACTAAAGGAACAGTTCCAATGTGGAGTCAGACTTTTTCTCTATTACAGTTCGAGTTAGGGGAAATTTTGCAGTAGAAAATCCCCTCAGTTATTTTTCTTGATTTGCCTGAAATCTTGTTTGTTGGCTTGTGGTCTCATGTGTCTAAACTGTATGTTCAGATGAATATTATTAAAATCATATGGTGCAGAAAATGTATCCGTTCTGCTTCAAAAATGACTGAAACATTTAGCTTTGTTTATTCCCATAGAATTTGGATTGAATCTATTCTCGACTTTCTTCTTCCTTCAAACCAGTTTTTTACTGGAGTGTTTAATGCCCAAACGAAAGAATTGTGGAGAAGACCCATGTAATTCATAAGAGCTTTACATCCGAATTTAAGACTGATCCATATATATACATTTAATCAAGGAACTCAATAAATTTGTTAGTCGATCATTCATGGTGTTTTCAACTTTCTCCATGTAATCTTTTGGATGTTGAGAGGTTTAGACACCTGATCTAACAAAACAGGTGTCATTGCTTGACTCTGTGAATGAAAGAATCCCAGTGTAGTTTCCTGCAAGGATATTTTATTAAAAATACTAAAGAATTCTTGCTGTCTAATAAAGCAACAGAGAGAAGAACATACTGAGTGTTTAAAATAAATAAGTCTATGGGTTAACTTATCTAAATAAGTCAAGATAAAATAGAGAAAAAAGTATGAACTTGAAGGAAAATAGATATTGTGCAATTAATATCCCATTTTTAAGAAGCAAATGATAAAAAAACCCACAATAATTAATCATTTTTCTACAAAGGAGTTACAAAAAGCCAACTTATTTTCATAAGAGTTACATAAACAAAAGGGCTATCTAAATCTATATTACTAAAGATTGAATTATACCAAATAGATCTCC